GGCGATCCCATTTTGAATAAGTAGATCACGTAACGTTAAAGGAAATGTATATATGGGAATTAGTGTGGCGTCTACGTGATCACTCACCGAATTACTCCGGAGGTGTGCTTGTCGAACTCTCTACCTCCGGGCAGAGAGGAATTCAGACGACGCTATACCGAAGGGCATAATCTTGTCTGGGGTGATAGTCAGCTACCCGACCCCGTTTTTTTACGGCGTCTACGGGGAATTTTTGCCCGAGCCTACGGGATCGGATATCCCACAATAAACTCGGCCTTGTGCCACATCCGACCGCGTGGGACGGTTAGTGAATATCTCACTCACCGAATTACCCCAGAAGTTTGCATGTCGAACTCTCTGCCTCCGGGCAGAGAGGAAGCCAGATGAGGCTGTGCCTAAAGGAAAAAGTCTCGTCAAAGGGTGGTAGACAGCTACACCGATCCCGTTTACGGAGTATACGGGGTCCTCCTGTATCGCAGTGAATGCTATACAATCTCTTAAAAGATGAAGGAGAGACTTGAAGTAACAGAAGTGTGCTTCTACAGAAGAATGCTAAGAATACCATGTGAGCAATGACGAAGTTTTACAGAAAATGAAAGCAAAAAGGAAACATACTTAATATCAGGAAGTAGCAGTTGACATTTCTGGGACGTGAGGAAGGATGGCTTGGAAAATCTGATACTCACGAGACGGATAGGGGGAAAGAAGGAGAGAGGAAAGCAACTCGTGACATACTTAACAGACTTGAGCAAATAGAGGGTCTGGGAGAAATAATAAAAAAAGATGATGTCGAGGGCCGTGATCACCTACGTCCTGAAGGGACACACCACATAAATAAAGACGACCACATAATTACCTAATAACATCAGGCTTCAGTTTTTATAATTAATGCAATAACTTCAATAAAACTTGTTGAAACTAAATAAAATTTTAACTCAAGCTCGGGAACGATTAAATTGGACTTGAAGTCTAATTTAATTGTTTAAAAATTTGAAAAACGTTTTTCAAAGGAAGCTCATGCGATTTGCATAATAACTTCAGACGGACGAAATTTTGGTGGATTCCTGACCATGGTGCTGTCAAGTAGGGGAATTTTAGTTCCTATGGTTGGCGGAGTAGGTGGAGGTAGGCATTAGGGACCTTCCTTAACTATATTTTCCCTTTTTTAAATTTTTTCCAAGATCTAATCACTGGAAAGCGTCAAGCGTCAAGAAAAACTCACGGTCACCTTACCTTACCACACAGGAAAAACTCCCATAAAAATTATTGCCATCGAGAATTAACATTAAATTAATGTGCTTAATAATAAAGTGCTTTAATAATAAAGACGCACGAACGTGTGTATATGTGGGCGCGCGCACACACACACACATACACGCACACACACACATATTATATATATATATATATATATATAATAAATGCCAATGCCAGTGTGTCACTGTTTCACACTTTTTCAATTAAAGGGACACAACTCTCTAACTTTCAATAGTTCTTCTTCTTCTTCTTCTTCTTCTTCTCTATAATAAATGCGATATGTGTAACACTTTTCCAGCTTTACTTCTAGAGGCCGTAGCCCAACATATCATACCATTTTGGAATCAGACCGACCCCACGAGAAATTAAAATCATTCTGGGCCGGATCTGGTCTCGCAATCCTGAAATTTTGGATTCCAAAGTTTTTATTACTGTGATTGTTTCCGGTGAATTTTTACCTGATTTTTGCGACGAATATTTTTGTACGATAAAATTTTTTATAGCTTGGAATTAAACTCGTTAATAATCGACATTAATAGCAAAATCCAGCGAAATTTACCAATGAATTAAAAATAATTGTCTGTACGGAAAGTAAGGACCTACGTACATCAAATTGTTTTTTAAATTAAGTGACGGTAGATGAAGCTTAAATATTAATGCAATACTTAAATGCAGCGATCAATTTTGAGTTCTTCTGTAGTTTATTGTTGCCTATCTCAGCTACTCCTCCCGACCTAATTTAATGAAGGCACAATCAAGAATGCCTATTAGGTAAAATGAATTATTTTAATATATTTTCTATTTATACATTATTGTTATTGCAACTGATTTGAGTAAATGATGTTTTAATTAAACAGTTTAATAACAAAGTCCAAATTACTAACCGGAAAGTTCTCTGTGGCTGAATGGTTAACAGCACGTCAGGCCAAAAGATGGTTTCTATATAGGATACAGGTTTAATTCCTGTTGGAGAACGAATATTTTCTACGAAATTTCTCCAACATACAGGCCTGTAAATGTATATATAACTGTTTAATTAAAAGGGAGAATTTACTTAAATAAATTGTATCCATAAAAATAACGTATAAACAGAATATATATATATATATATATATATATATATGTGTGTGTGTGTGTGTGTGTGTGTGTGTCTTTGTATTTGTATATTTAGGCAGCAATCCTTCTTTCATGCACATTACATTGAATACGACAGACAAGGTGCTTTTATTTAGTTTTTATACAATTTCTCATCTTATCTATTTTTTTCTTTTCAGATGATAAATTATATAAAAACTGTCCATTCGTAATATATTTGTTGACAACACAAATATAATAGCATCATCTCCATGCAAAAAAAAGGCCAAAAATAATTGAAGCCTTATTAATCAAAACAAAAAAAAAAACCAACACTCAATAATATCAACTATGAACATGGACACAATATCTTGGCCGTGTTTTGAAAATGAAAACATTATATACATACATACATGAAACAAACTATTTCTTATTTTACAGTTAAAATATTTCATACTTGAAAATGGGTAAATGTATAGCCGAAAGCGCTCCGAAAAATGGAACAACTGGACAGTTTTTGTATAATGTATCACTTGAAAAGAAAAAAAAAACAATATTAGATCACATATAAAATTTCATAAAAAACGAAATCGACTCAACTTGTCTGTCGCATTCAATGAAATGTGCATATATATATATATATATATATATATATATATATATATTTGAATGAAACCTGTCGTGTAATTTATTGGGGTTGTTATAACGTCTTCCTTTAATGTAGTCCTTATCGCTCACCCCTTAACCACCTTTATCTAGAGACGAGACGCGTTAAATTTGAACAACATCCAGCCGACACACTGGGGTTAAAATAGGAAACTAAAATGATACATATGACACACTCATATCCTCTCTCCCACCTCACTTCCTCACTTCGTTAACTTTGTGTATACTTTATGAGGTCCGTAAAAAACGTGAATTTCTTCTCATTTTTCATTTCAGCTTTTGGAAGTAAAGTCTGATGATCAAAAAACCCTGTTAAAGGGGTTATGGTGAAATAGCTTATTACATGGAATCTTAACGTGGTCTGTCTTTTATTCAAACATATATATATATATATATATATATATATATATATATATATATATGAATATGGCTGCTCATTTCTGAACAGGTAGGTCTAGGACGGCTAGCCAGTCTCTCTTGCAGACGGCTGACCTGTTTCATACTGCAACTATGCAGAGCAGACCTTAGTTACAGTTTCTGGGAGAAAGAGAGAGCGTATAATCTGGCGAGATCTTAAGTCTGAACATGGCTAGTACGTTCAAAGCCTCGGTCACGATGACTTGTGACTTCGAGCTAGTACAACCATCGATGAATAATTCCGTCTACCCAATCTCTCTCACAAGACTTGTATCAACCTATAGTAACCACCCAGGGTACGACGATAAATTACATCCGCGTCCTGGGTAAAACGATAAACTACGTCCAACACAAGGCCTCTGATCAGGAAGTTTTGAGGAGCGTGGAACCACTTCTTAATTGCTGATGTTCCCAGGTCCACCCTGACTCGGGGTGGTAGCACCTGTTAGCGTCCCAGCTATGGGTAAATAGTTACCCACCAAACTGGGGTCAAAACACTATGAAAATGTAAAAATTGTTTTTAATACCAGAAATAGTTTGTAAAAATTATTACCAGCAAAAATTTTTGAAGAAAAAGATTATCATCAATAAATTTTGGAAGAAAATATTACCAGCAGTATATTTTAAAAAAAAATATGACCAGTTATACATTTTTTGAAAAAAATTATTACCAGCGATACAGAAGGAAAAAATATTACCAGAAATAGATTTTTGAAAAAAAAAATTACCAACAATAAACAATGTCGGCATTAAATAACCCATTTAGGTTGATATACCGTAAAACAGTACAAACCAACCTATATTATGGTTTTCAGACACTTTTTCAAAGTTGATATCACCTTCCTAGTGTGACAACTTCAAGAAGTTACCATCCTGACTAATTCATCATAGTAAGATTCAAACCCGGGGACCATAGTCGCAAAGCGAGCATTCTATCCATTCGGCTATGTATATATTAGCTACTTAGGTAAGCTTTCTGTGTAGGTGATTTTGTTAAATTTATTTTCAAGCGACCTGAGATCGAGGGTCGGTCCCAGAGATTCACAGGTTTTCAAGTCAAATATAACTTCGCTACAAAAAATCTTTCAAGTTCACAGCTTCCACAGGTGGCCTTGTGTCAGACTAAACTACGTTCAGTAAATCTGAACATATGAAGATCAACATGCTTATCCTCTGAGCCAATCTAGCTGACCTTGATCCAAAGAACAGTAAGTTAGACTCAAAGGCAGTCACGGTGGGTGAGGTGTTTGGTGTCTGGGTTTCTTAATTTTACCGCCAGATAACGAAGGGCCAGTCACATAGATTAAATAAACTGTCTCTTCTTCCTCTCACTAAGAATAAAACCAGTCTCATCTCGCTCTCTCGCTCTCTCCTCTTCCTTTTCTTCTTCCTCTTGTTTTACTGTCTAATGCTCCATGTCTCTGTCTCTCGTCCGTCGTCGAATTGATATTTGCTTTCCCCGGGCGAGATTTGATTAATCCGAATGGGGTCGTGGGTCTCTGTTGATCAGTTTACGTCAAGTTCGACCGTATTAGAAGACAGATCAAGTCGGGTGATGAGAAAGGCGGCAAACGGTGAAGAGAGGGTTAAAGAATAAATAAGAGTGTACAGAAAAGTAGAAGTGAAAAAAAATGGGAAAGAAAGAGTAAGATATTAAGTGAGAGAGAGAGAGAAAGAAAGAGGAAAAGATTTAAAGTGAAGGAGACGAAAAGAGAGAGAAGCAAATAAAGGGCGAGGAAATGAATGAAAAAGAGAATGAGAGAGAGAGAGAAAGATTGATGAAGATAAATCGGTAGAGGAAGATAATAAGAGAAAGAGAAAGAAAGAGAATGAAAAAGAAAAGGATTTTTTTTTAAAGAGAGAGGAAATAATTTAGGGAGGAGAAGAGGAATAGAGAGAAACATGAAAAGAGTAAAGAGAGAATGAAAAAAAAGAAAAGATTGCAAGAAAGAAAGAGAAAAAGAATCAAGGTGAAGAAAAGGAAGCGAGAGAGGAATATAAAAAGAGCAAGTAAAAGAATGAGTAAGAGAACGAAAAAAAAAAGGGACAGATCTTTTAAAAGAAAGAAGAAATCATTTAGGGAGGAGACGAGGAAGAGAGAGAGAAAGAGAAGGGGGACATGGAAGAACAAAAAAAAGAAAAGAAAAAACGCAATGAAAAGAAAGAAAAATTGCCGAAAAAAAAATGAAAAAAAGATTAAAAATGAAGTACACAAACTGGGAGTGGAATATAAAAAAAGCAAGTAAAAGAATGAAAAAGAGAAGAAAGGATTTGTAAAAAGAAAGAGAAAATGATCCAAATAGAAGAGAAAGAGAATCATAAAAAAAAACAATACAAAAAAAAAAGGGAATGAAAAAAGAGAAAGATTGAAAAAGAAGAAATATGATGGAAATTAAGAAGGATAAACAGAGAAACGGGTAATTAGTAATAAAAGAAGGAAAATAAAAAAAAAGAATGAAAAATAGGATAGATTACTGAAGAGAAAGCAAACAATATCCAGAGTGAGAGGAAGAAAAGTAGAAAGAATACCATGGAAAGTGCAAGGAAAAAAAATGAAAAAGAGAATGAAAAAAGAAAGAGAAAGAAATCGAAACGAAAGACAAAAAAAAAAAACAGAGTGAAGAAGTGGAAAAGAGACAAAAGCATAAAAAATCCGATGAAGGAAAAAGGAGAATAAAAAAAGAGAAAGAGTCTGGGACTGGTAAAAAAAAAAAGAAAGAAAGAAAAGGTCACAGATTCCGGGAGAGGGAGAGTAATAGAGAGAGGATCATGAAAAGAGCAAAGATGAGGAGAAAAAAGAGAATGAAGAAAAAAAGAATCTAAAAAGAAAGAAAAAACAGATCAAGAATGAAAAAGAAATATACACAAAGGAACATAGACGAAGTGAGGAAAAAAATTAAAAAAAAAAAAAAAGACAGACAGATTGCTAACAAGAAAGAAGAAGAATATAAGCAGGTCGTGGAAAAGAATAAAAACGAATGAAAAAGCTAAAGAACGATTTATAAACAGATGGAGAAAAAGATTCAAGGAGAGGAAGAGGAAGAAGGAGACGATCATGGAAAGAACCAAAACACCCCACCCAACAAAAAACTCACGGCATTTAAAAAGAGAATGAAAAAAAAAAAAGATTACTAAAAAGAAAGAGAAAAAAAAATTCGAGGTGAAGAAGAAGAATAGATATAGAAAGATAAAATGAACGAGGTTAGTAATGAAAATAGAACGAAAAAAAGAAAGATGCTGAGGAAGAAAATAAAGAAAAAGGGAAGAACAAAAATAGTACCAAAATAAGACTGCGATCAAAGCGTAGTACCTGTTCTCCTAATATCTAATGGTGATGATGATAATAGCCGTTTCCTTATAAGGGAAACATTCGGCATTCATTGACCGAACAGCCAGTGCTTTACGGTTACTCTTTGCATTGGTCGTTGGCCATGTGACCGGTATCAAAGTGTAGTATCTGTTCTCCTAATTTCTAATGTTGATGATGATAATAGCCGTTTCCTTATAAGGAAACATTCGGCATTCATTGACCGAGCAGCCAGTGCTTTACGATTACTCTTTGCTTTGGTCGTTGGCCATGTGACTGGGATCAAAGTGTAGTATGCTCCGGCCTTTTTTAGGTGGGGACCCGAGCGCGTACGCCCGGGACACGAACAAAAATTCCCCTCAACCAGTCACATGGCCAACGACCAAAGAAAAGTGTAACTAAATAGCATTAGCATAAATTAAATGACGAATGTTTCTTTATAAAGAAACGGCTATTATCATCATTAACATTAGAAATTAGGAAAACAAACCTTGAGTTAACTTTTTAGGTACTTTGGACATCTTTTTTCTTTTTTTTTTTTCGTTTTTTTTTTTAATCATTTCACCCCAAGCAAGGAGGGTGCCACTAGCACGCAAGGGGTTACAGAGAATGGGAGCAAGAGTAAAGAAACGTGATTGAGAAAAGGATGAAAAGAAGGCCGGGGAACAGATCAAGGCACCTGAAGATGTCGACTGACATTGCATTTGAATAATTGAAGTTTATAGCTATCAGGGAATCAAGTAAGAGGAAGGGAGTTCCACATAAGAGAAGTGCAAGACATGCAGCTATTGGAGTAGAAGAGATGGCTACAATTAAACGTTTCGACAGAGAAAGGGTGGGACGGAGATGCCAACCTAGTCGCAGGCTTAATTCCATTAAATTCATGGGAACTAGCGAAACTAGCACTTTGGAGCAGTTACCGTGAAAGTACTTGTAGAAAAGACAGAGGGAAGTCACAGCATGTCTGTAAGAAAGTGACTGTAGGCGAGATGCCAGATCAGGGCCAATCACATTGCGTATCCATCTCTGGATTTTGTCGAGGACCTTGAGATGAACAGCGGGTGCTCCCGACAATATATGGCAGTAGTATTCCATGCAAGGGAGAATGGTTGATTTATAGATTTCAAGGATGGACTTTCTAGCGCGACACAGAGAACCAACATTCCTTGCGGTAGATGAAGCTATAGATTATCGGATGTATTATAAAAGCTGCAGTCTGAATTTATTATGCACATGAAACTCATATTAGTTTAAGCCCTTTGGATTCTAATAAAAATCTATTATCTTCTTTTTTTCATATGTTGAATCATGGATAATGGAAAGGATCTAACAAGGGCAGAAAAACTTAAAGTTATGAGTGAGGGCATGTCAACGTTGGAGATATCAAAGGATCTTTGCAGAGATCATCGAACGATAAAAAGGGTTGTTGAAAATATAAGTTGAGATCTAGAAACAAAAGAAAAGGCTTTAAGAATATGTGTTCTTGAGGGTACATAAACTAAAGCAAGTTATAACGAAAGAACCACTTTTAACTGGTGCTAAGATCTTTGAACGAGTTAGAATTGATGGAATGAAGAAGTATAAAAATACAAATTGGGATCTGTCATGAAATCTCCTAAGCAAACTCCTTTCACTAAAGCAAATACTTTTAAAGCGTCGAATTTGGTCTAACTGATTTTTATGAATTTTCACGAAAGAATCTCGGGTGGACCTGCTGGATGGGCCAAAGGACGGATTTTATCCAATGCAGACATGCCTGTGGCTAAAAGAGGGCAGTAAAAAGGCAGCAGTGTAATGATATGGTCTGGAATTATCGACCAAGCTATTATATGTCTATTTAAAGTCAATGAAAATTTTAAACTGAACACAGCTACGTATTGCGGTTACATGGGAACGACTTTCTTTGAATGATACCAGTGCCAACCTCGAAGTTTCAAAGTTTGCATTTGTGTTCGACAACTCTCCTTCTCGTGTATCTAAGGTTACCCGTGGAATTCCTGAGCATAATTTACAGGAGAGAAGATAAAGGAATGGCCAACTTCAAGTCCCAATCTGTTATCCGATTGAAAATCTATGGTCAGTTGTGAAAATATATGAAGGTGTCAAACAAGGAGGCACGGTGGAGTAATGGATAGCGGCTCGGATTGAGGAATCGGAGAGCCGAGTTCAAAATCCAGTCGAATCTATTACATTCACTTACGTGCTAATACCCTTGAGAAATGTATAAATCCTCTTCTTATCCCCCCAGCTATGGGTAAATAGCAGAATAGACCTAGTTCTATAGCCCTGAATGGCAACTGGTCTGCCGCAGAAAGAAATCGGAAAAATCTGCCTCGTCAGTCATGTATCGAAAGATATATAATCGTTTAAGCGTGTATCACGCATGGATATAACTGACTGATATTCACTTAAGTGCAAATACACTTGGGAAAGGTATGAATTCTCTTCTTCTCTCCCAGCTATGGGTAAATAGCAGGACAGACCAGGTAGTTGCCTTGGATGGCAACTAGTCCACCGCAGAAAGAAATGGCGCCCAACTGCAGGAAGAAAATCTGCCTCGTCGGTCATGTATCAAATGATACATGATCGCCTAAGCGTGTATCGCGCATGGCACATAACTGACTGATATTCAGATAGGTGCTAAAACCTTGATAAAGATACGAATCCTCCTTTTCTCCCTCTAGCTATGGGTAAATAGCAGGACAGACCAGGTTCTACAGCCTTGGATGGCAACTGGTCTGCCACAGAAAGAAATAGCAAACTCCTACTGCAGGAAAAATCTGCCTCGTCAGACATGTATCAAAAGATACATGATTATAAGCACATAACTGACTGACTGTCGAACAATATGACAGCAACACATTCTAGGAAGAAATTAAAACGAACATATCGGAAATTGAACCTGGTGAAGTAAAAAAAAGATTAACAAAATCGATGGATTATTGGCTGTTATTCAGAAGAAGATTCGCTATATTAGGACGGAAATCCTTCAAAGACTTATCATATGTGTTTGTTATTTGTTCTATTATAAATGTTGATCAATTGTTGATGATTTAATTTCCTTATTATTGAAGTAAAAAGTCGTTTTCTAGTTTTGCATAACTTCAAATAACTTTTATAACAAATCCAATATCTATAATAAACATGTTGAAACTACGTCAAGATTTAACTCAAGCTTTGCTTTAACGTCTAAATTAATCCTTTAAAATTTGACAAAACTGTTCTAAACAATTTTGAGTTATTGAGGTTTATGTGATTAGCATAACTTCACAATGGCTGTATTTCACTCTTTTTTAATTTTAGTATTTTAAAATTTTCTTTTTAACACATTTCATCTAAACCATCCGACTGTTTAAGGAAACACCATTATATCTCATGTGAATCACGTCTATTGGTTCTGAAACCATTAACTTAATGGTTGTTTACTTGGCTGTCCATATGCACGCATGCGGGAATATGTGATCATGTGCGTCAGTAATTAAGTACATGTCATCGTGTGCTCAAAATATGAAAGAGAATCCAACGAAAGGGTCAACATATAAGACAAGTTAGAATAAAAACAACGTCATCAAAAGATGGATTTTATTTTAACGAAATCTAAATTGGAGACATGGGGAGATTTTTTTTTCATATTAAATGTGGTTTTATTAAATTGAAATGAATTCCCTTAGACATAGATGCATTGAAAGTACCATAATTTCCGAATCCCATGAGGTTAATATACGATCAGACTTCCTTCTTCATATTGCCTGTACTTACTAAAGTACTGTTGATAGAATCTACTTACTAACGTACTGTTGATAAAATGTACTTACTAAAGTACTGTTGATACAATGTAATTACTAAAGTACTGTTGATACAATGTGGAATGAGAAAACTTTGAAAACAAATGAATATGTAAAAAAGTAAGTACATTAGAGGCAAAGTTTTGGAGCGACCTTGCATTGCTTAAAAGACACTTTAAAATGAAATATTTTTGTATTTTTAAAGTTAAAGTCAAAGATAAAAGTTTAGAAACTACAGTGTATTTGGTTTTATTCTGACAAAAAAAATAAGCACTGAACTATAAAAGATTATTAGACAACAGCATCATTTTTTGTTATCGCCAATAAAACCACCATCTGCCTTAATTACTGCTTTACAAACTCTTGGCATTCTTTCCAATTTTTTTTTTTTTTTTAAGTAGATGGCAGACCTTTCAAAGCATTCTTCGGGTATTGAAAAATCTCACTCTTACTCTTTGGGTATTCTCATCGATATATCGCAACCAATTCATCCCATACCAATCCAATGGGAAAGAGGTCAGGAGATTGAAGCGTCAAGTCATAATTTTCACAATTTGGTTCCTCTTTTTTGACTCGAGGTAATTTTAACATAAGTTAGAAGAGGGTTGGAAGATGATTTTTTTTTTCTAATTATGCGTAAACCAGATCGTATAGCATGTCATCGCAAAATCGAATGATATTTTTCTTTTTTCATGATTCCCTTGAGCTGAATCATTCTCCAGCCGTTTTGGCAATCTCAAAATGCCTACTTAGGGTTTAATGTTGAAAACAAAATATAATTCTTCCTATACAAAATATTCATAATTTAGTAAAATGTATTGTGGACACAACAAATCCAAATTTGAAATTTTGGTAAGCAGAAGAGCCTGGAGAAAGACGGAAATATAAAAGCAATTACATTGTATCCACTGAAATGTTTTCCTTTATTTTAAAGAATACAAAAATATCTCATTTTAAGATATTTTTTAAAGAGATTGCAGAGCCACCCCCATAACATTTGCCTCTTGTGTATATGATTTTCAATGCTGGAAAATTTGCTCTTAGATGAAGAGGAAACTTGAGGCAATAGAGATCTACAGATCATGGACGGAACATGTAAACAATGTGGAAGTTTTGAGAAGAAAAAAAAAAGAAAGCTTATATTAGGATCAGAAAGAAAGAGTGAACATTTGGAGAACATATAATGAGGAAAGAAAGATAGAAAAATTGACACACACAGGGCAAGCAATCAAGGCAAGAGATACAGAATGAAAAGGTGTGAAAAACTATCTAACGATCTTACACAAAAGAAATAGAAGCGATAGTTAAAAGGCAAAAAATACCTTGGGTAAAAAAAAAATGATCGGAAATTGTGGAGAGCCATGACCACCTTCATTTCAAATTCTATTCAGATTTGATATAAAGACGTTAACATTTTGTTTGAATTTGACTCTTTTTTTTATTTTTATCTTAGTTGTTATTATGAGACTCTTTTTCCTGTGATTCCGTTTGCCAGCCACCCCCCCTTTCCAGATTTCTTCTATTGACAGCCTGCCTCCACCCAATGTCTACAATGCGCCTCTTCGTCACGGCAACTGTCTTGGGAAAAGATTATGGAGGGACGAGTGGTAGGGTAGCGAGAAAGAGTTCGACAAGGAATAACTTTTCAATTGTAAGTGGAGAGTAATTAGATAAAGTACTTTGGAAAGAAAGAAAGAAAGAAAGAAAGAAAGAAAGAAAGATGTGAGAAACTATAAGAATAAAAGGAAAAATTATAACAAAGAAAGAAACGATAAGAAAGAAAGGAGAAACTAAAGAAAGAAAGATTATCGAAAGAAATAAAGAAATAAAGAAAAAGAGAATGTACAAGAATGAAGGTGAAAATATAACAAAGAAAGAAACGACGAGAAAGAAAGGAGAGACTAAAGGAGGAAGCAAGAAAGAAAGAAAGAAAGAAAGAAAGAAAGAAAGGAAGAAACTATAAGATTGAAACGAAAACTAAAAAAGAAAAAGCAGTAAGAAAAAGAAAAAGAAACGAAAAGAAAAAGGGTATAAGAAAAAGAAAGAAAAGAAAGAAAGAAAGAAAGAAAGAAAGAGAAACTATAAGACTATAAAAGAAAAAACTATAAGAAAAGAAAGAAACGATAAAGAAAGAAAAAAAGAAAGAAAAGAAAGAAAAAGAAAGAAAGGAGAAACTATAAGAATAAAAGGAAAAACTATAACAAAGAAAGAAACGATAAGAAAAGAAAGAAAGAAAGAAAGATGAGAAAACTATAAGAATAAAAGGAAAAACTATAACAAAGAAAGAAACGATAAGAAAGAAAGAAAGAAAGAAAGAAAGATGTGAGAAACTATAAGAATAAAAGGAAAAACTATAACAAAGAAAGAAACGATAAGAGAGAAAGAAAGAAAGAAAGATGTGAGAAACTATAAGAATAAAAGGAAAAACTATAACAAAGAAAGAAACGATAAGAGAGAAAGAAAAGAAAGAAAGATGTGAAAACTATAAGAATAAAAGGAAAAACTATAACAAAGAAAGAAACGATAAGAAAGAAAGAAAGAAAAAAAGGAAAAACTATAAGAATAAAAGGAAAAACTATAACAAAGAAAGAAACGATAAGAAGAGAAAGAAAGAAAGAAAGATGAGAAAACTATAAGAATAAAAGGAAAAACTATAACAAAGAAAAAAGAAACTATAAGAATAAAAAAGAAAAAAAAAAAGAAAAAAGATGTGAGAAACTATAAGAATAAAAGGAAAAAAACTATAACAAAGAAAGAAACGATAAGAGAAAAAAAGAAAGAAAGAAAGAAAAAGAAATAAAAAGAAAAAGAAATGTAAAGAATGAAAAAAAAAAGAAACGAAAAAAAGAAAAAGGGAGGAAGCAAGAAAGAAAGAAAGAAAGAAAGAAAGAAAGAAAGAAAGAAAGAGAAAGATAAGAATAAAAAGGAAAAACTATAACAAGGAAAGAAAAAAGATAAGAAAAAGAAAAGAAAGAAAGAAAGATGAGAAACTATAAGAATAAAAAAAAACTATAAACAAAGAAAGAAACGATAAGAAAGAAAGAAAGAAAGAAAGAAAGATGTGAGAAACTATAAGAATAAAAGGAAAAACTATAACAAAGAAAGAAACGATAAGAAAGAAAGAAAGAAAGAAAGATGTGAGAAACTATAAGAATAAAAGGAAAAACTATAACAAAGAAAGAAACGATAAGAAAGAAAGAAAGAAAGAAAGAAAGAAAGATGTGAGAAACTATAAGAATAAAAGGAAAAACTATAACAAAGAAAGAAACGATAAAAGAAAAGAAAGAAAGAAAAAAAAGAATAAAAGGAAAAACTGAAAGAAACGATAAGAGAAAAAAAGGAAAAATAAGAATAAAAGGAAAAACTATAAAGAAGAAAGAAACGATAAGAGAAAGAAAGAAAAGAAAGAAAGATGAGAAACTATAAGAATAAAAGGAAAAACTATAACAAAGAAAGAAAAACGATAAGAAAGAAAGAAAGAAAGAAAGAAAGAAAGATGTGAGAAACTATAAGAATAAAAGGAAAAAACTATAACAAAAGAAAGAAACGATAAGAAAGAAAGAAAGAAAGAAAGATGAGAAAACTATAAGAATAAAAGGAAAAAAACTATAACAAAGAAAGAAAAACGATAAGAGAAAAGAAAGAAAGAAAGAAAAGAAAGAAAGATGAAAACTATAAGAATAAAAAGGAAAACTATAACAAAGAAAGAAAACGATAAGAGAGAAGAAAGAAAGAAAAACTAAAGAATAAAAAGAAAAATGAGAAACTATAAGAATAAAAAGAAAAAACTATAACAAGGAAAGAATAAAAAAATAAAAAAAAGAAAGAAAGAAAGAAAGAAGAGAAAGAATAAGAAAAAAGGAAAAAACTATAACAAAGAAAGAAACGATAAGAATAAAAAGAAAGAAAAGAAAGATGAGAAACTATAAGAATAAAAGGAAAAAACTATAACAAAGAAAGAAACGATAAGAGAGAAAGAAAGAAAGAAAGAAAGATGAGAAAAACCAAGAATAAAAGGAAAAACTATAACAAAGAAAGAAACAATAAGAAAGAAAGGAGAAACTAAAGAAAGAAAGATTATCGAAAAAATAAAGAAATAAAGAAAAGAGAAAACAGAGAATACAAAGAAGGTGAAAATATAAGAAAGAAAGAAACGACGAAAAGAAAGGAGAGACTAAAAAGGAAAAACTATAAAGGTAAGAAAGAAAGAAAGAAAGAAAGAAAGAAAAAACAAAGAAACTAAAGATTGAAAGAAAACTATACGAAAGAAGGAAAAAACGGTAAGAAATAAGAGAAAAAAGAAAGAAAGAAAGAAAGAAAGAAAGAGAAACTATAAGACTGAAAGGAAAAACTATAAAAAAAGAAAAGAAACGAAAGAAAGAAAGAAAAGAAAAGATGTGAGAAACTATAAGAATAAAAGGAAAACTATAACAAAGAAAGAAACGATAAGAAAGAAAGAAAGAAAAAGAAAGAAAGAGAAACTATAAGAATAAAAGGAAAAAAGATAACAAAGAAAGAAACGATAAGAAAAAGAAAAGAAAAGAAAGATGGAGAAACTAAAGAATAAAAAAGGAAAAACTATAACAAAGAAAAAGAAAAAAATAAGAAAGAAAGAAAGAAAGAAAGAAAGAAAGATATGAGAAACTATAAAACTATAAGAATAAAAAGGAAAAACTATAACAAAGAAAGAAACGATAAGAAAGAAAGAAAGAAAGAAAGAAAAGAAAGATGTGAGAAACTATAAGAATAAAAGGAAAAACTATAACAAATAAAAACGAAAAGAGAAAGAAACGATAAGAGAAAGAAAGAAAGAAAGAAAGAAGAAAGATGAGAAACTATAAGAATAAAAGGAAAAACTATAACAAAGAAAGAAACGATAAGAGAGAAAGAAAGAAAGAAAGATGTGAGAAACTATAAGAATAAAAGGAAAAACTATAACAAAGAAAGAAACGATAAGAAAGAAAGAAAGAAAGAAAGAAAGATGTGAGAAACTATAAGAATAAAAGGAAAAACTATAACAAAGAAAGAAACGATAAGAAAGAAAGAAAGAAAGAAAGAAAGATGTGAGAAACTATAAGAATAAAAGGAAAAACTATAACAAAGAAAGAAAGATAACTAAAGATAAAAGAAAAACTATAACAAAGAAAAAACGAAAGAAAGAAAGAAAGAAAGAAAGATGTGAAAACTATAAAAAATAAAAGGAAAAACTATAACAAAGAAAGAAACGAAAAGAAAGAAAGAAAGAAAAGAAAGATGTGAGAAACTATAAGAATAAAAGGAAAAACTATAACAAAAGAAAGAAAGAAAGAAAGGAAAACTAAAGAAAGAAAAGATGAAAGAAATAAGAAATAAAGAAAAAAAGATAAAGAATGAAAAGGAAAAACAAAAAAAAAGAAAAAAGAAAGGAGAGACTAAGAGGAAGAAAGAAAGAAAGAAAGAAAGAAAGAAAGAAAAACTAAAGAAAGAATAAAAGGAAAAACTATAAAAAAAGAAAGAAAGAAACGAAAAAAAAGAAAGAAAGAAAGAAAGAAAGAAAAAGGAAAAACTATAACAAAGAAAGAAACGATAAGAAAAAAAGAAAGAAAAAGGAAAACTATAAGAATAAAAGAAAAACTATAACAACGAAAAGATAAGAAAGAAAGAAAAAAGAAAGATGAGAAAACTATAAGAATAAAAGGAAAAACTATAACAAAGAAAGAAAACGATAAGAAAGAAAAGAAAGAAAGAAAGATGTGAGAAACTATAAGAATAAAAGGAAAAACTATAACAAAAAAAAGAAACAAAGAAACAAGAAAAGAAAGAAAGATGAGAAACTATAAGAATAAAAGGAAAAACTATAACAAAAAAGAAAACGATAAAGAAAAGAAAGAAAGAAAAAGAAACTATAAGAAAAAAGGAAAAAATATAACAAAGAAAAGAAACGATAAGAAAAAAAAAGAAAGAAAGAAAGATGAGAAAAAGAATAAAAGGAAAAACTATAACAAAGAAAGAAACGATAAGAAAGAAAGAAAGAAAGAAAGATGTGAGAAACTATAAAAAAAAAACTATAACAAAGAAAGAAACGAAAGAAAGAAAGAAAAGAAAGAAAGAAAAGAAAGATGAGAAACTATAAGAATAAAAAGAGGAAAAACTATAACAAAGAAAAAACGAAAAAAAAACTAAGAAAAGAAAGAAGAAACTAAAGAATAAAAGGAAAAACTATAAGAAGAAAGAAACGATAAGAAAGAAAAGAAAGAAAAGAGAAAGAAAGAAAGAAAGAAAGATGAGAAACTATAAGAATAAAAGGAAAAACTATAACAAAGAAAGAAACGATAAGAAAGAAAGAAAGAAAGAAAGATGTGAGAAACTATAAGAATAAAAGGAAAAACTATAAAAAAGAAAGAAACGATGAGAAAGAAAGAAAAGAAAGAAAGAAAGATGTGAGAAACTATAAGAATAAAAGGAAAAACTATAACAAAGAAAGAAACGATAAGAAGAAAGAAAGAAAAAGATGTGAAACGAAAAACTATAACAAAAGAAAGAAAAAGAAAGAAAGAAAGAAAGAAAGAAAGATGTGAGAAACTATAAGAATAAAAGGAAAAACTATAACAAAGAAAGAAACGATAAGAGAGAAAGAAAGAAAGAAAGATGTGAGAAACTATAAGAATAAAAGGAAAAACTATAACAAAGAAAGAAACGATAAGAAAGAAAGAAAGAAAGAAAGAAAGATTATGAGAAAATAAAAGAAATAAAGAAAAAAGAATAAAAGAATGAAAAAACTATAACAAAGAAAGAAACGATAAAAGAAAGAAAGAAAGAAAGAGATGTGAGAAAATAAGAAAAAAAAAAAATAAAAAGAAAGAAACGATAAGAAAGAAAGAAAGAAAAGAAAAAAAACTATAAGAATAAAAAGAAAAACTATAACAAAGAAAGAAAAACAAAGAAAGAAAAAGAAAGAAAGATGTGAGAAACTATAAGAAAAAGGAAAAACTAAAAAAGAAAAAACAATAAGAAAGAAAGAAAGAAAGAAAAAAAAAACTTATAAGAATAAAAGGAAAAACTATAACAAAGAAAGAAAAGAGATAAGAAAAAAAGAAAGATGTGAGAAACTATAAGAATAAAAACTATAAGAATAAAAGGAAAAAAAAGAAACAAAAAGAAAGATAAGAATAAAAGGAAAAACTATAACAAAGAAAAACGGTAAGAAAGAAAGAAAGAAAGAAAGATGATGAGAAACTATAAGAATAAAAGGAAAAACTATAACAAAGAAAGAAACGATAAAAGAAAGAAAGAAAAAAAGAAAGAAACTATAAAGAATAAAAAGAAAAACTATAACAAAGAAAGAAACGATAAGAAAAACTATAAGAATAAAAGGAAAAACTATAACAAAGAAAAAACGAAAGAAAGAAAGAAAGAAAGAAAAAAAAAGAAAGAAAGAAAGAAAAGAGAAAACTATAAGAATAAAAGGAAAAACTATAACAAAGAAAGAAACGATAAGAAGAAAAGAAAGAAAGAAAGAAAGATAAGAATGAAAAACTATAAGAATAAAAGGAAAAAAACTATAAGAATAAAAAGAAAGAAAACAAAAAGAAAGAAAAGAAAAGAAAGAAAGAAAGAAAGAAAAGAAAGAGAAACTATAAGAATAAAAGGAAAAACTATAACAAAAGAAAGAAACGATAAGAAAGAAAAGAAAGAAAGAAAAGAAAGAAAGATGTGAGAAACTATAAGAATAAAAGGAAAAACTATAACAAAGAAAAAAGAAACGATAAGAAAAGAAAGAAAGAAAGAAAGAAAGAAAGAGAAACTATAAGAATAAAAGAAAAACTATAAGAAAGAAACAGGAAAAAAAGAAAGAAAGATGAGAAACTATAAGAATAAAAGGAAAAACTATAAAAAGAAAGAAAAGAAAAGAAAGAAAAAGAAAGAAAGAAAGAAAGAAAGATGTGAGAAACTATAAGAATAAAAGGAAAAACTATAACAAAGAAAGAAACGATAAAAAGAAAGAAAGAAAGAAAGAAAGAAAGAAAGATGTGAGAAAAATAGAATAAAAGGAAAAACTATAACAAAGAAAAGAAACGATAAAAAGAAAAAGAAAAAAGAAAGAAAGATAAAACTAAAGAATAACAGGAAAAACTATAACAAAGAAAAGAAGAAACGATAAGAAAGAAAGAAAGAAAGAAAGAAAGAAAGATGAAAACTATAAGAATAAAAGGAAAAACTATAACAAAGAAAAGAAACGATAAGAAAGAAAGAAAGAAAGAAAAGAAAGAAATATGTGAGAAACTATAAGAATAAAAGGAAAAACTATAACAAAAAAAACGATAAGAAAGAAAGAAAGAAAGAAAGAAAGAAAGAAAGATGAGAAACTATAAGAATAAAAGGAAAAACTATAACAAAAAAAAAGAAACGATAAGAAAGAAAGAAAGAAAGAAAGAAAGAAAGAAAAACTATAAGAATAAAAGGAAAAACTATAACAAAAAAAAAAGAAACGAAAGAAAGAAAGAAAGAAAGAAAGAAAGATGTGAAACTATAAGAATAAAAGGAAAAACTATAACAAAGAAAAGAAACGATAAAAAGAAAGAAAGAAAGAAAGAAAAGAAAGATGTGAGAAACTATAAGAATAAAAAAAACGATAAGAAAGAAAAAAAAATAAAAAGAAAACTATAACAAGAAAGAAACGAAAGAAAGAAAAGAAAGAAAGAAAGATGAGAAAACTATAAGAATAAAAGGAAAAACTATAACAAAAAAAGAAAAAAAAAAAAAGAAAGAAAGATGTGAGAAACTATAAGAATAAAAGAAAGAAAGAAAGAAAGAAAGAAGGGAGAAACTATAAGAATAAAAGGAAAAACTATAACAAAGAAAGAAACGATAAGAAAGAAAGAAAGAAAGAAAGATGTGAGAAACTATAAGAATAAAAGGAAAAACTATAACAAAGAAAGAAACGATAAGAAAGAAAGAAAGAAAGATGTGAGAAACTATAAGAATAAAAGGAAAAACTATAACAAAGAAAGAAACGATAAGAAAGAAAGAAAGAAAGAAAGAAAGATGTGAGAAACTATAAGAATAAAAGGAAAAACTATAACAAAGAAAGAAACGAAAAAGAAAGAAAGAAAGAAAGAAATAAAAGGAAAAAACTATAACAAAGAAAGAAAGAAAGAGAAAGAAACTATAAGAATAAAAGGAAAAACTATAACAAAGAAAGAAACGATAAGAAAAAGAAAGAAAGAAAGAAAGATGATGAGAAACTTGAAGAATAAAAGGAAAAACTATAACAAAGAAAGAAACGATAAGAAAAAGAAAGAAAGAAAGAAAGATGTGAGAAACTATAAGAATAAAAGGAAAAACTATAACAAAGAAAGAAACTATAAGAAAGAAAAGAATAAAAAAGAAAGAAAGGAAAAAGAATAAAAGGAAAAACTATAACAAAGAAAGAAACGATAAGAAAGAAAGAAAGAAAGAAAGAAAGAAAGATGTGAGAAACTATAAGAATAAAAGGAAAAACTATAACAAAGAAAGAAACGATAAGAAAGAAAGAAAGAAAGAAAAAGAATAAAAGGAGAAACTATAAGAAAAAAAGGAAAAAATTATAAAAAAAGAAAAAACGATTTAAGAAAGAAACGATAAGAAAGAAAGAAAGAAAGAAAGAAAGAAAGAAAGAAAGATGTGAGAAACTATAAGAATAAAAGGAAAAACTATAACAAAGAAAGAAACGATAAGAGAGAAAGAAAGAAAGAAAGATGTGAGAAACTATAAGAATAAAAGGAAAAACTATAACAAAGAAAGAAACGATAAGAAAGAAAGAAAGAAAGAAAGAAAGAAAGAAAGATGTGAGAAACTATAAGAATAAAAGGAAAAACTATAACAAAGAAAGAAACGATAAGAAAGAAAGAAAGAAAGAAAGAAAGAAAGAAAGATTTGAGAAACTATAAGAATAAAAGGAAAAACTATAACAAAGAAAGAAACGATAAGAAAGAAAGGAGAAACTAAAGAAAGAAAGATTATCGAAAGAAATAAAGAAAAAAAGAAAAAGAGAATGTACAAGAATGAAAGGAAAAATATAACAAAGAAAGAAACGACGAGAAAGAAAGTAGAGACTAAAGAAAGAAAGAAAGAAAGAAAGAAAGAAGGAGAGACTATAAGACTGAAAAGAAAAACGATAACAAAGAATGAAAGGATAAGAAAGAAAGAAAGAAAGAAAGAAAGAAAGAAAGAAAGAAAGAAAGAAAAAAAAAAAATGTGAGAAACTATAACAATAAAAGGAAAAACTATAACAAAGACGGAAACGGTAAGAAAGAAAGAAAGAAAGAAAGAAGGGAGAAACTATAAGACTGAAAGTAAAAACTATAAAAAAGAAGGAAACGGTAAGAAAGAAAGAAAGAAAGAAAGAAAGAAAGATAGAAAAAAGGGAGAAACTATAAGACTGAAAGGAAAAAACTATATCAAAGAAGGAAACGGTAAGAAAGAAAGAAAGAGAGAAAGAAAGAAAGAAAGAAAGAAAGAATGAAAGAAGGCAAGGCTAAAGATGGAAATTATTGAAAGAAAGAAGAAAGAAAATAGAATAAAAGGAAAAAACTATAACCGAATGAAACAATAAGAAAGAAGGAAAGAAATATGAAAGAAAAATGAAAGAAAGGCAACACTATAGAAAGAAAGAAATTATCGAATGAAAGACGGAACAAACTATAACAAGGAACTATAAGAAAGAACGAAAGAAAGGATAAACTATAAGACTGAAAGGAAAAAATTCAAGAAAGAAAGTTAGAAAGAAAAAGAAGAGAAAAACTATAAGAATGAAAGGAAAAATTATAAAAAAGAAAGAAAGAAAGAAAGAAATTATCAAATAGAAAAAGATAAGGAAAGGAGAAAGTGATAAAAATAAATTCGAGGCAGAAAAAACATGAACAGAAAAAAAGCGATCAATTCAGTAAAGGGCAAAGAAAAAAGTCAATAAAAAGATGAAGCATTAAGAAAAAAATGAGTAAAAAGGAAAATGAGAATACAAAGAAAGAAAACAGTAAAAAAAATGAAAAGGTTTAAAATGGCCGTTCTCTCGAGAAAACAGAGACAAGAGAAGATTGAGAAGTAAACAAAGAAACAGTAACAGCAAAATAGAAGAAGCAATGGAGGATGTGAAAAAAGAGTAAAAGTAAAAGGAATAGAAGAAAAAGAGGTAGTAAAAAAGAAAAGAAAGAAGAAAATAAAGGAGGAAAGTGAAAGAAGAAATGGAAGAAGAAAGCTAAAAAGACAAATAGAAGTGAAAGAACGAGTGAAAGTATAATTTTATGGAATAGATTCAGAAAAAAGATATAAAAAATGAAACGGAATGTTAATGATAAAATTGGGAAGAGCCGTTTCTTTATAAGAAAACATTCGCCATTAATTGCCCGAGCAGCCAGTGCTATGATCAGTTGAAATTTATAAAATGTTGCTATTAAAATATGCTTTCACGAACAATAGGTTTCTCAAGTCACGTTGTTCTTCCTAACATTTTATTTGAAGTAGTCTGGAATGTCAACATCTTGAGTGTGTTATTATTTATTCTTCAACTTACAGTGTTGCTTTTGCTTCAACTTACAGTGTTGCCTTTTCTTTTGTTTCAGCTTACAGTGTTGCCTTTGCTTTTGCTTCAACTTACAGTGTTGCTTTTGTTTTTGCTTCAACTTACAGTATTGCTTTTTCTTTTGCTTCGACTTACAGTGTTGCCTTTGCTTTTGCTTCAAATTACAATCTGGCCTTTGCTTTTGCTTCAAATTACAATCTGGCCTTTGCTTTGGCTTCAACTCAGTGTTGCTTTTGCTTCAACTTACAGTGTTGCTTTTGCTTTTACTTCAACTTACATCGTTGCATTTACTTTTGCTTCAACTTAGTGTTGCTTTTTCTTTTGCTTCAAATTACAGTGTGGCATTTGCTTTTGCTCCAACTCACAGTGTTACTTTTGCTGCAACTTACAGTGTTGCCTTTGCTTCAACTTACAGTGTTGCTTTTGCTTGAATTTACAGTATTACTTTTGCCTTTGCTTCAACTTAAAATGTTACTTTTGGTTCAACTTACAATGTTGTTTTTGCTTTTGCTTCAACTTACAGTGTTGCTTTTGCCTTTGCTTTAACTTACAGTGTCGCCTTTGCCTTTGCTTATTGCCTTTCAACTTAGTCGTTGATTTTGTTGATATGATGAGTTTTTAAATATTTCATTCTTTGTGATTTTTTGAATCCAATGTTTTTTTCAGGAAGAAAATAGTGAACGCCCCCAAAAAACATTGGATTCAAAATAGAGATAACTACAGGCACAACTATAGTAAACTTCCTTGACGTCACTCTTAACCTGATCAACAACACATATGAACCATACAAAAAAGAAAATGACACACCAACTTACGTACACACATCCTCCAACCATCCACCTTCTATCAATCAGCCGCAGACTATCTGAGAACTCATCTAACATGCAAATTTTCAATAGCAAAATAGCACCATACAACGAAGCACTAAAAGCAAGTGGTTACACACAACAACTACAATATATACCTCTACAGCCAAAACGCAGAAACAGAAAGAGAAACATTATCTGGTTTAATCCACCATATAACAAAACTGTTAAAACGAACATAGGCAAAATATTCCTAAACTTAATAGAAAAACACTTCACTGAAGAAAACAAAATATCAAAAATATTTAACAAAAAAATAACGTAAAGATCAGTTACAGCTGTACAAAAACATAACAGAAATAATCAAAAACCACAACAAAAAAAATGACAACCTACAAAAAATGTAACCAAGGATCCAATATGCAACTGCAGAAACAGAACAACATGTCCACTCCAGGAAATTGCCAACTTACGAACACAATATACAAGGCCAAGGTAAGTACAAACAACAACACTATGCACTATATCGGTGCCACCGAAGGTCCATTCAAGATGAGGAATAACAATCACAACCTTTCATTCAACAACAGGAAATATTCGAACAGCAAAACACTTTCTACATACATATGGCAGGAAAAAGACAAAAACATCACACCAACAATAAGTTGGGAAATATTGAAAAAAGCCCCTGCCTACAACAACATTACGAAAAAATGCCTACTTTGCCTACACGAAAAAGTAGCAATAATATCACACAAACCTCAAAAGAACTTGCTAAACAAAAAATCAGAGATAATCTCCAAATGTAGGCATGAGAACAAGTACGGATAAAACAGACAAACCACCAACAATCACAATTTAATTTCAATATACCATCAAAATAATTGCACCTATCATTATTATAATTGCACCACCATTAGTAATCACTTTTACCACTTTACAATATCTATTATCTATCAATATTATCATTACCACCAACACACAGCACCATCACTTACACATCACACCCACTATTAACATATAATCCACTACAATCTTTATTACTCCCCCAGCATATTTAATACCTTAATACAATATGATCAGATATAATTTCCATATATAACCATGAGAACAAACACCTATTACCAGGCAGCTTTAATATAATAACAATAATAATTTTGTAATTAAAAATTAAAAATTATAGCAATCTTCAACTACCATAATTTTACACAGAATACCTATTATCAGGATTTATACCAAAATAAATTAATACATATAACAAAATAAAACAAAAATAAAATAAAACAACAACAACCACTTTTTAGTTCAAACTACCACCACTATAACTACATTCATGGTTTTATCATTCTCCCACCACCGTTACTAATCATTTCTACCATTTTGCAATTTCTTCCAATTTACAATAACTATTAGCTAAATAGCATTGTCTCCAATCCCTTGAAACATTACTATGACGTCATATCATATAGACCCGTTATTAAATTGAACCACCCTCTCACCCAGTATATTAAACATCACCATATAAATTAAACAATAAGGATTACAAATTTTTACCTGTTACATATACACAGTCACCAAAAACAAACAAATAACCAGCTTTAAATATAACAAATAAACCCCCATTTTTTTCAAAAATTTAAAAATAAATATAAATAATTATAATAATAATTTTTACCTATCATAATTTTACACAAACCCCACCACACGTATATACATACATGCGAGGAAATATTTTTCAGCGAAAAAAAAAAAAAAAAAATTTTAATATTTTCATATTATGACATGTATTCATTCACAAGACATTAACGAGACATTTCCGCCACACTTCCAATGTTTAAATTTCAACATTTCAACATACAAATGCGTATGTATAGACATAACACCACCCGTATACATACATGTGTCATAGCCGAAACTGCCCACATATGTTTATATATGTATGAGTGCCGACGGACGACCAAGTATGTATATGTGTCTGCATACATTGATGTTTGCGTTAGTACGATGAATGACAAAACGACGAAGTTTCCCCCACCACTTCCACAATAACACCAATACACGCAATCTACATAAACCCAAATTTTTTAAAACATTAATCAGTTCGTCTGACGATCGCTAAAGCGTGAAACCCAGGGTCACAAACTCACATCTATCCAACCAAATATATATATATATATATATATATATATTTGTAGACACAAAATTTAATGAGCGAAATAAAAGTATAAAACTTAACGAGACATATTAAAAAAACGGGTGAAGCAACCGGTTTCGCACCCGCTCTTCAGGCTTCAACGGGAGATTTAAAATTGACACAGAAAAATGTACAATAAAAGGAATTGTCAAAAAAAAATGAAAAATGGACTAGAGACAAATGACAGCGAGCCCCAACAAACACTCACGTTGTTTGCACAAAGAAGGCTTATGGAACCCGATGTAAAGTGCCTCCAGAACCTTTAGATGAAATAAAGAGTGAGACCGGGACAACACGGTGAACCAGTCAACACTAAATTTGGCTGCACAATCTCTGTTCTTTAATAGGCGTTCGCATATGGCGGAACTATAGGTGTTCGGGACGAGTCCATTCAACGGCAAGGTGTGATTTCTAATTTTTGTAGGAACGTGTTGTTTTATTCTCATGTCTAAGTGTTGAGTTGTTCTCCCTATGTAGTCGGCTCCGCAACTACAAACGTATTTGTAAATAATTGAATTAATTTGATGGGGAAGGAGAACGTCTTTACACGCAGAGCGAAACATAGGCCGAGTTTGAAAAATAATCCGAACTTCAGCAGAGAAAAAACAACAACGAACATTGGATGAAATTTGTTTAGCTATTTTTTCACATTTGGTACCAATCCAGGGTAATCTGAGTTAAACTGGACATTTTTTAACAGTGTAGAGCTCGGCACTTCTGAACTCTTCAACTTTACTGCGGATAACTGAATTAACAGTATCAAGAGGATAACCTAAATTACATAGGGTATCCTTAATAAAGTCGATTTCGCCGTTCAAGAAAGACTCAGAGCAAATCTTTAATGCTCTGTGGAGGAGGGTTTTGATAATGTTGATCTTGCGCTTAGTGGGACAAAAAGAGTCCCAACGCGTGTACAACCCAGCGAAAGTAGGTTTTCTATAAACGGAAGTAAGAAAACCTGTTAATGTACGATGTACTAATACATCCAAAAAGGCCAATTGATGATTGGACTCTTTTTCAATAGTGAACCTCAGTGCCGGATGGATGCCATTTAAAAACGAAAGAAACTGGTCAGCCTCAATTTCACCGTTAAATAAACAAAAGGTGTCATCAACGTACCGACAGTACAGTTGAGGACAAAGTGAATTCTTTCGTATCTTTTCTTCCTGAAAGCCAACAAATATGTTAGCAAGTGCCGGACCCAAATGCGAGCCCATAGCGACTCCGTCGATCTGTCGGTACATGGTGTTGTTGAAACTGAATTCGACGGAGGACGTGGCAAATTTCATCAATTCCCGAAATAATGACTCAGGAAAACTAGGTGGAGTCAATGAACTGCGATAGAGAAAATCACAGCAAATACCAATGGTCTCCATTAAAGGGACACAAGTATACCTTGCCGTTGAATGGACTCGTCCCGAACACCTATAGTTCCGCCATATGCGAACGCCTATTAAAGAACAGAGATTGTGCAGCCAAATTTAGTGTTGACTGGTTCAGGAGTTATTTGCGACGAACTTGTTTTTGACCCACGAGGTTTTTTCCAGTACTTGACGAACTTTTCTTTTTCACCCACTTTGTTGTTTGGAATATATTTTTTATTTAAAAATCCGGACCTTTTTATCTTAAGTCATTCTTTTAATTTTTTCTTTTTTTTTTTTTTTTTTTAATTTGTTTTTGGGCCTTGGCTCACATTTTTTCTTTTTTTTTTTTTTAGTCCGGTTAGACTTTGTCAAACCGGACGACAGCTTTTTATTTTTATTTATTTTCTCTTTAAAAAAAAACAAGTTTTTGAAAAAAAAAAAAAAAAAAAGCTTTTTGTTTATTTCTTTTTATTATTTTTAGCGACTTCAGTCGCCTTCTTTCTCCTTTTTATTTTTGACTAATTTATTTTTCTTTTTAATTCTTTTTTTTTTAGCGGCGTCACGCCGCTAAACTTTATTTTTTAATTTTGTACATTTGTTTGTTTTTTTTGGAAAAAAAGAGAAGTTTTTTGGTTTTTCTTTTTTATTTTCGGCTGCCTTCGGGCGCCATTTTTATTTTATTTTTAAAAGTTTATTTTTTTAAAGTTTTATTTTTTAGTTTTTTTTTCCTTTTTTTCATTTAATTTGTTTGTTTAATTTTTTTAATTTCCTGGTTTATCCAGGCTTTCTTTTTTTGTGTTTTTTTTTTCCAACTCCTCTCCTGTCTGTTAATCTATAAAAAAAAAACCGCTAGTGGTTGTTTCCACTTCTCTTCAACATGGCCGACGAAGGCAGTCGGTCCAAAATTAAAAAGGACCTCTTTG